GTGGCGGGGGGCTGGGGGGAGGTGGGCAAAGTGTGTGTGTGTGGGGGGGGGGGGAATAGGGGACATCTGTAATAGTGTCAACAATTTTTTTAAAAAAAGATGATTGGAAAGATACATTGCAAACACGCCAGTGTGAGATAGTTTGGGGCTTAAATAAAGTAAGCTACAAAACTAGTCAGAAAAACAGGATCTAAGAATCAGAGATCTTAAAACTAAAAGGAACCAGGAAAGCATCTATTGAGGTCTTTGGCCATCTATTTCCAGGTGAGAAAACTGAGACTCAGAAGGTAAAGTGACCTTCCCAAGGCCACGGCTATTTAGTAGCAGAGCAAAGACCGACCAGAGTCTAGGTTTCTTGGCTTAACTATACATTGGAAAAGAAGGTGTTGTTTTGTTTTTTTCTATCTGATATCTAATTAATCTCTCAAAAAATGCTACATTGACATCTCACATCTGTGAACACATAAGAGTTGAAATGCAGAGCTTACCGTGACAATGCTGTAGTGATTAGGGAAAGTTTTTGATGGATATACTGGTCTCAAGTTTCTAGCATATGTTCCACAATTTTCTACAAAGGAAAAAAATGAAAGATTGTTATTAAATACAACTGACAATCTGTTTACCTTATTTAGCTGTGGTACCACAGCAATCTATAAATCATATAAAAACGTTAACTCATGAGGAGTTTATAATCATACAAATTCAGGGTGAATTATAAAGCAAAATTATGAACTCAAATTCAATGTTAAAATAGAGTTAATTTTTCTCCTAGTCAAAAATATTAAACAAAATAATTAAGCCAGTGAAGTAATTATCCTATATTAATCAATAACATTACCTTCCAGATGGACCATTTATAATAATGATGCTTGCTAGATCTTTGTGACTATTTAGTGGTCACATACCTAAATTGCAAGAGGTAGTCCAAAAAACACACTCAAAAACACACACAAGACAATAGCAACAACAACAACAAAACTGAACTAGTAGCTAAATCTGTGTAAATTAAAACTAGGGTGAAACGGTAGCTGGGGTGACCATGTCCCAACCCATAGATTCAGAAGGAGCTCACATTGGACAAACTCAACGCTGCTGAAAGGAAAAAAGGCATATTCTGTTTTCAAGTCAGAGAAAGCGTAGGAGTCAGATTGCTCCTGAATCAGCTCCTTCTGCATCTGCTACTGAGGAAGGAACATTTTAATACCTCATTGATTCTAGCATCGTAATACCTCATTGCCTCACAATGTTCCTTAGATTGGCATGTGTCTAGCTCACTGCCTTCCAAACACTTCATAATGACAGACCACATTCACCAGTTATTTCAAGCTAGACAGGCTAATTATGTATTGGTATCTTTTAAACTTCACATATCAGTATCCACAGCTACTTAATTCTGAACTCATGATGCCATGTTTGATGCCATCAAGAAAAACCTTCCTCCCACTGGTAACAAAGGGCCAGATGCAAGCTTGAAGGCCCATGGTCCTGGCTGGTGGACAGGGCCTTCCTTGCCTATGCTCTTCACTAAGGTGTTTTTATGTCAAGTGATATTTCTAAAAACTATTTTCTTCCAGTAAGAAATAAAAAACAAATGTTAGCAGTATTTAAAAGGAAGCTTTAGAGTAATTACAATATTAAACACTAGTTCCTTATTATCAAGTTCAACCACTCCATATCAGAGAAGTTTAGTAAAACAGTCAAGTTCAAACTGCCAGTACTTTTCCAAAAAAAGACTGTGTCCCTTGACTATCTCATTGAAATCGTGATACTCCAATAGTAAACTCAGAATTTACTCACTTAGTCTGCTAATAACAGGAAGAAGTCCACCCCAGGTGTGTAAATATTCTGCTCTGAAACCATCCAAAGAAAATAAGAGGGTAGGAGGTGTTTCAAACCTGGGCAATAGGAAAAAAGAACATGTTTAAAGAAAGAAGACACACATCCAATGAAGATTTTCCACTGAGGTCGGTGTGTAATCTAGATTTAAGCAGCAAACTCAGCTAGCAATCTCATGAAGGATATTTTATAAGCATTTATATTCATATACATGCTTTTACATTTTATTATATATCTATCTATTATCAAACAGTATTTATTAAGCACTCATACCATTGAGTCACCATACAGAGAATATCACTCATGGTTTCTTCTATTCTACAAGCTAACCAAATGCTATTAGAATGCAATATTTTCCCAATATGCATCAGAATAAATGTTAACACAAATTATTTTCTAAATTATATTTCTATTTCCATTAATATTTTTTCCTGAAAAACCACTTTCTTATATTGTCTATACTTAAATCTAATAAGTGGCACCTAATATCACATAAGTTATATACAATAGTTTTTAGGTTTAATATATTTAAAAGATATTACTATTTAACAGAGAAGTTTAAGAGGTATTTACTGCATTTAAATATAAACAACAAAGAAATGATCCAAAGCTAGGAATGAACAATGACAGCACACACACACAGTCTGTGGTGTGGAAATCTAAACAGGGAAGCAAAGAAGGAAAAAAAACCAAAAACACATACAATGATATACTCAGGAAAAGAGAACAACTATGGACCATGTTACATGACTACACCAAACAGGCATGGTTCAGAAATCCTGCAGCGTCTCATGCTATCTGGTAGATGGCAGGAGAGTTATGTATCATTGGATAACCATGGGAAAACTTTCCACTGAAAATGTACTCAGTAACTCAAACTTTGAGAGCTAATGTTTACCTCGCCTTGCTTTTTTCAACTCTATCTCCTCCCCAGCTTACTCTCATATACAAACACAAATAGAAAAAGGAGGAGATGTGTATATAACTTATATAATTTACAGTAACTAGTGTTTACACCACACTCTATTGGGCGACTCTGCAGAATTAGCTGCATATAGTCTCAATGGTCTGTATCTTTATAACGTTATTTATACTCAATCAACAGCAAACATAAAAACAGTTTACTGAACCACCAGGTAAAATATACTGGCAAATCAATTTCCAGTATAATAAAATGCATTTTAAATTATGATCTTCTTGTAAAGAAAGAAGGTACATTTTTCTACTAAAAAAAACCTTAACATTATAATTGAAAAATAATGATCAATGTTTAGAAGAAAAGGAAAAATTCAAAATTCACTAAGTCGAAAATTTCCTATATATCTTGGACTTAAAAGGCAGCTTAAGGTACATGAGAAGTGTCCTTTTAAAAAAAGTCTCTTCTTTTGGAACTGTTTGTTTGGAGTTTAGTTTTTTCTATTGCTGTTACTATTGTTTTAAACAACAAAATATATTCTCCCATCCCAAAGAAAAAAATACATATTTTATAAAGCAAAAATAAATTATATACATAAAAATAAACTAACATTTTTACTAGTTTGGAAAAATCATCATTTCAAAGAGGTAAAAATATATTTCTTGAAATGAATAACTTAAGCCCAGCTGGCATGGCTCAGTGGTTGAGCATCGACCTATGAACCAGGAGGTCATGGTTTGATTCCCAGTCAGGGCACATGCCCGAGTGGTGGGTTTGATCCCCAGTGTGGGGCATGCAGAAGATAGCTGATGAATGATTATCTCTCATCATTGATGTTTCTATCTCTCTCTCTCTCTCTCCCTCTCCCTTACTTTTTGAAATCAATAAAAATATATTTTAAAAAAAGAAATGAGTAACTCAAATTATATGGGGTAGATCTCAAGTGGAGCAAAGCTAAATGTATCTAACATCTTTTATAAAATTTCCATTCCCTGAATTCCACAAAACCTTTATTTGATGGCCTAGTAAATATAAAATACTCTAAGTGCCAAATACTCTAAGGACAAAAAGAACAAATATGAATTGTAAAAATCATGTAACATCCTCTCACAGACATGTTGCTTATCCCCCAAATTTATAAAGGAACCAAAAGCAAAAATATAAAGCAGAAGCTGTAAAATAATTTGCTACAAGTTCCACTCTCAAAACTCCATATGAAAGGAAAGGCGCCCTTCCTTTTAAGAAGGAAGATACAAATATTCCCACCCAACACTCACGAATACTAAATACTACATATTCATGACTTCTTTTTCCACCACATTCCAGAGTGGGGATCACACCACTTTATACCATCTCTACACGCCCAGTGCCAAATATGGGGCCTGAAATTCATGTTTAATGAACCAATGAATAATAATTATTTTATCTTTTCAATTTGGAAAGAAAAATTATTTCTAAATAGAAAAAATTTGTATCTCAGAATATCATCTTACCCTGCTGGACACTGTGGCTCATTAATGCTCTCACACGTTTCTTCTACCCAACTTTTCTCACCTAAAATATTTTAAAGAAATAAAACAAAATGAACACACTTAATAGCAATAACAATATGATGCTTGTGAGACACATTAAGACAGATTCTAAAAACAAAATGTGTTAACATTTACATAGGCAACATGGGACATGGTTCTAGGGAAATATAATGAAAAGAGGGAGGTAATCTGTTTCAAAATAAAATTTGTTTCCAAAGAGTTAATTGATATCACTCACAAAAATGAATGTATCATCATAGGACTAAAATATAATATTACATTTGTGAGATCTTCAAGGCATCTTTTCCATTTTTAAATTGTTCATATTTTCAGCCAAAATTTATAACCCTCCTTCTATCCCACCCAACAAAATATTCTGGTATTAAATCTATGATGTCAGCTCCTCTCAAACAGAGCTAGATAGTGCCAAGGAATTTCAAGGAATCCTGTAACATCTAGACAAGACATCCTAATAACAGTTTACATACTATCTAATCTTTTGCAGTAATTTCACATCCACTCTCTCAATGCATGGTAGATTTTTTTTAAATATAAAAGTGTGAGATGCTGTCTATTTGCTAAGAACTCATAATCTAACTATGGAGAGAAAGTAAACACATGAGACAACAATAACTGACAAAAGAGAATATGCAATGAGTTGAAATGAGTGACACAAGCAATATATGAGAGAGAGGTCAGAAATGAAGTAGACAGGATGGAAACTCCTCTTCCTGTGTTTTAACATAAGCTTCCTTCTAATGATCTAAAATACGACCTACTGAAGTCTAAGAACCCAATGTTCCAAAAAAAAAAAAGAAAATGTAATCTTAATAATATGCCTTAGGAAGTTGAGTTTTCAATATTTTCCCACTGTACCTTTCACCAAATGAACAGATTATCCTAATGCCTAAATCATTTCCAGTAAGAATTTAGGCAATGCATAGTCATTTTTTCCCCAGACATGATGTTACATTTGATGCAATGCAATAGTCTTGCTGCATTTCCCTTTTTTTTAATTTGAGGAAGAGATCACTGCCCTTCCTGAGACCCTCTGTCCCGGCTCTGTGCTGTGGATTCTCAGACAATCTGCCACAGCTACCTGGCTATAATTTTAGGAAATTAGGAGACAGAATCCTGTGGGAAAATGAAAGTCTCATGTTCATATGAAACGAGCCTCATGATTCCTAAGAGAGGTAGAGGCCATCATAAAGGACAAATTTACTTTTATGCAGTGAGGAATACAGAGATATTGTTCATTCTTTGAGCACAGTCCCTGAAATCCATGAGCCACCCAGCTCTCTCTCTCACCTCTATCTCAGAATGTTGTGAGCATGCTCATATTTACAGAGCTAAGTCAAGCTACAGGGGGCCCAACAGTAAATCTATCATTTAAGCTTCTCCTATTACTCATGTCATAAATTCAGCATCTAAGTTGCTGGTATTTTTTTAATTGAATTTATTGGGGTGGCATGGAAGTCATGATCCTCGTGTTTTTACAAGGGAACCTGGGACACAGGAGTCATCCGGGATGACCTTTCCACAATACGGCATTAAATATAAAGCTAATGTAAAAACAACAGGAGGGGGTGGTAGCTGGTGAATGAATCACTATAGACAAAACATGGTTATCCCTGTGCAGATAATAATTATTAATCTGGGTGTAGGTACAATGTTCACAAGACACTTTCTTTTTACTCATGTAAATGCTTGAAATTTTCTTTAATAAAATGTTTAAAAATATTTTTTCAGCTAGTATGGTTGGCCAATAAACACGACTCCTAATGTGAAAAAATAAAACGTGCGCAAAACCCAGCTAAGGCCTAGGAAGACGTCAGGCTGTAGAGACGGCTGAGAACATGGAACCTGACCTCGACACACAGGGCGGTAGTTGACGCAGCAGTCACCGTGGTCCCTGCAGTCATCTGAGCAGGAGCAGCGGCTCCGGGACAGCCGTTTCTCACCACACCTGAACTTGCTGCAAGTCCATATGTGCTCTAGGAATGAATATCAACAACAATTTCAGGGTCCAAACTCAACACAGAATTGCTGTCTTCTGGAGTAGGACCCGTAAGAGACAACAAACGGGTCCATAACTTTCAGTTCGTCACAGAACCTTCCATCACAATGTCACTCAGAACGAACAGGGCAGTTGTTATTATGTCACTAAAACCCCAGAATCTCATCATTCTACAATGTGGACAAACAATTCTTATGATGGAATCCATAGGAAGGTCTTGGCTTTTTCCACCAGCCATTTGCAAGGTTCTCAAACATGAATCTAAATCTGGCTCACTCCCACTTAAATATTATTCCATGTCAGCCACAGAGAAATCGACATCAAACTGAGAAAATTTTCCATATTCTGAAGGTTTTATTTTAAAGTTTACGTGGACATTCAAGAACTCTTGCTTTAATAAAATAGTCATATATGTTCCTCTGACCTTAGTTTAAATGCAAATTAGGCTGTAGATTAAAAATAGACAGAGTGTTGCTGGCCATATAGTGTTTAATGGCCAAAGTATATGGAATTTTTTTCTCTAAGGAAATATAAAAGCCAAAATTTAAAAAAATCTCAGATGAGTTAGGTAATCGCATACCTAAAAGATGCAGAACCATCCTGTGGTTTTACTAATGCCTATGACTGCCTTTCCCCCAGCACATTTTTACCTGGTTCTATACACGTCTCCTGGTAATCGAGGCAGCAGTTTCCAAGTTCAACGCAAGCAACATCACAGCGACAGTTCCCAAAGGTTCTTTCAAAACAGCGACCTTTGCAGCTTTTAACTGAAAATATGGAATAATGAGTTAGATGTTTCTAATCATTATAGAATTACAAAGCAAACGCCAACTGACACACCTAAGCGCATCTTCTCTACAATTCAAATACTACTTTAGGAAACACAGAAGGAATAATAAAGTTACCTAAGAAGCTTTCACAAATACACATGGAAACTGATACTAATAGAAGGTAACCTATATACAGAATTCATGATTTTCTCTCTTGCCATAGAAAAAAAGAGAAGTTTTTTCTTTCTTATCACAACCCTACTGGGTTTGATAAGACTTAAATACTTTATGGGATGGTAAAGAAAAGTCCAAATAGGGGCTTGTTCTGAAGGTTGACTTAAACAGCCATGGAGTTCTCTACAATTTCAAAATGGGAGAAAAGATTTTTAAAGTGATTATCTATCTATGAATTTTTCAGAAAGAGAGGGAATACCTGACTTACCTTACTCTCTGTCTTAGTGTAAAGAAGTAATGGGATTATGCAGAATACATTCTGCAGGACTGCCCACCCCCTCAATCACCATCACCTTGAACACCCATTTCACCTTCAGGTCCAGCCTGACTCCCTCTAAGAAGCTTTCCCAAACTGCCCAGTCTCAATCCACTTTGCTTTCTTAAACTTTTATAAAATCACTAGAGGCCTGTTGCACGGAAAAGATTAGTGCAATGGGGCTTCCCTTCTCCTGGCTGCCGGCACCGGTTTTCCTCTGGCACCCAGGACCCAGGCCTTTGCTCCGGCCGGAGCTGCCTTCAAGCCTGCATTGCTCCAGCCACTGATTAGCCAATGGGAGGCATAGCAAAGGTACAGTCAATTACCATGTTTGTCTATTATTAGATAGGATATCCTTCTTCTCAGTCACTTAATTCCATTTGTAACTGGATTATTTGATCAGTATCCCAGTCTCACACTAGACTACAAACTTCTTAAGAACAAAGACCACACCCAAATTTTGCCCAGTACAATGTATCCCTCGTACCCATAAGACACGTGACTATCATCAGTACTAATAAGTTTTCCCTAAGTAGATAAATGGAGGATATGGAAGAAAATAGCTTTCACTAAAACAATTTTACATTGAAACTATTCACTAGATTTCTAGAACAACCTAGAATTTTTATTGGATTTCTAAAAAATCAGGATGATGAGGCACCCTCTTAGCGCAGCAGGCAGCGTGTCAGTCTCATAAAAAATCAGGATGATGAGAAAAAAATATAGATGGAAGTCCAACAGAAGAAAGGAATAATCCTAACTCTTGACTTGAATAGTCTCCTGACCCAGCAAGACACTGCCACAGAACTTAACTCTTATGAACTGGGATTTTAGGCAATTTTAAGGACATAAAATGATAATACGTTTTAGAGTCAGAAGTGCTTATTTTCCTGACACAGGGTGGGGGAAAGCTATTAGAGTAATAGGTATTATTTTAAGCTCATTAATATGCACCTAGAAATTTTTTAAAATACTATGCACACACACTATGTCAGGTTTAAAACTGCTATCTTTGCATGTCAAACTGAACTCCAGGTAAATTACTGCATGCCAAAAAGCTACACAGCGAACACTAAAGTCTGCAGCTTCTTAATTTTTGCTCTGAATACAGGCACATCTTCTTTTATTGTGCTTCACAGATGCTGCATTGTTTTGTTTTGTTTTTTACCAACTGACAGCAAGGTCCTTAACCAGCAAAAAGATTACAACTTGCTTTATTGTCATACTGGCTCTGTTGTTGTGGTCTGCAACCACACCTGCAATATCTCTAAGATTGTTGACTAAATACATAAAATTACTACATTTCATTCATTTCAACAATAAATAATAGCTTAATAATCACTAAATTTTTTTAGTGACTAATATTACAATTACAGAATTGTTAAACAGGAAAAGAATTTTCAAAACTGAATTTTCTAATTTTCAATGACTTTTACAAGGGGAAAACAAACCTCAGAGGCAAAATAATGACTCCTACAATGAACTGTGATTCGGTTTTATGATTTATAGTGATCTTATCAATGCTGGATAATTTCTACACTCGATACAAACACACATACCACGCATGTATTAGCTTAAAAATACCACAATTGCTTTGAAACCACTAAGTCCACAATTTTAAGAGCCGTGAGAGCAGATAATGGTAAGTTTCTGGTTGCCCAGGGATGCTGACTGGTCACCTGGTAACCTCTGGAGTTGCTTTGCAACTCACAGCTCAAGGAGAAAGGAGTGCCTGGGGGAAGGCAGCGATCGGCTGCAGGAGCCTGATGCCATAACCCATGGGCCACGTCTGCTTGTTTGTTTCTTTGTCCTTAATTTATTTTCTGTTGTTTTGGGAGTTTTCTGTTTGTTTGGTTGGTGTTTCTATCATAGCCCCTCTTTATTTTTTTAGGGTGAAATTTTCCAAGTAAATAAAATATGGATAAAATAAGAGTTTTAAGGCGGCTCAAACCAGGATCAAATAGGCACTATCATGGAGCAGCCATAGGATTAGAACATAACACTTATCACATTCTGAAGAAGGCTGAATATCAACACACATACACAGTACTAGTTACCTTCTTTGGCACAGCTTGGTTTCAACCCAAATATACAGCCAAGGATTATTGTTAAGACACAGACTGACAATACCTGTGGGGAGATAAAAAGAAAATTATATAGCTTCAAAACTCTTTATTTCTTCAAATGTTTTATTTCTTTAAATGTTTCTAAACTTGCTGATGCTACTCTGTTTCCTGATCAAAGTACAGGTCAAACAATCATGTTCACTTTGTGAAAATTCAAGCTGCACTTCTGCATCATGAACTTTTCTGTATGTATGTTATACTTCAACAAAAAGACTACTTATGTCCGGCCAGCATGCAGTGGTTGGCAAACTGCGGCTCACAAGCCACACGCAGCACTTTGGCCCCTTGAGTGTGGCTCTTCCACAAAATACCGACTCCTGCGCATGGGCCACGAAGTTTCAATCGCACTATACGTGCTCACGTGGTATTTTGTTCTATCTCTCTCTCCCTCTCCCTTCCTCCCTAAAATCAATAAAAATATATTTTTAAAAAGCAACAAAAAAACAGACTACTTAAATGTTAGCAATAAATCTATACCATCCAAAGTTAATGTTGCTAGAAATTTTCCAGTTGATATAAATTAATCTAATTATAGAACTTACAACAAGTAAGAGAGAAAAAGAGGAAAATCTAGTTAATAACTCAATTTCCTATTTGGAAGGCAATGAGAACATTAGCTGCCTCCTTTAACAGTTGACCTACACAAACCTAAACAATACCTTCATATGCACTCTGGCACCTTGTGGGAACAAGCATTGGATAGGGTTAGGTGACTATATCTCTGGTCCAAATGTTACCACAATTTGGTTGTACGATTTAGGGCAAGTCATTTAAGCATTCTAGACAGCAGTTTATTCACCTGTAAAATTAAAGGGTTGGACTACATGGAATCCCTAAAACTATTTCCAGTTCTAACATCTTGGTACTTCCTCATTCTCCACTCTTCTGGCCTTTGACATTTTAAAATAAGTGGATACATCATACAATACCAAAGAACAACAGAACTTTTATTTGTGAGTCAGAAGGGGAAAAAAAAGAACTCATAAAACAATTTTAATATTTTTAGTGGGATAGAGTTTCCTTGACAGCTCTCTGGAATGCCACTTTACAGGACAATCCAACAAAATATTCATTGAATACCAACTGTGTGTAAGAACTATATTACACATTGAAGGAAAGAATAAGAGATTCCTCGGGGAGTTTCTATTTTTGTGGGAGGAGGTAAATACAACAGAATAAATGGATCATACTTGGTAGCCTCTACAAAGCAGTTGCAGAGGTCTATAGATGTTTAAAGGAGAAAGTCTGGGGTGGTTGGGAGAGGGAGATCAGAAAGTAAGTCATAGAGTAAGCCTTTGGCGGGCAATGATGGTCTGGGACAGCAGGCAGAGCTGAGGGAAGCAAAGAGAGGACAGAGCAGAGCAAACTTCTAGGAGGAAGGCCAGCATAAGGAGACGCTCAAAGAAAGGAAGGCATATGAAAGGCAGCAGGCGAACAGTGAGCAGTCTACTTTGTCTGGAACAAAGCAAATGCACAGGGAAATGGACGTGGATGCAGGGAGAAGGCATGGGAAGGTGGAGTGGTATTTCCCAAAAGCCAAAACGAAGAGGTGGTAGACAAAGGAAGGATGGATGAATGGGCCAGGGTGAATGGCGGGTAGTGGCTTTTATGAACACATTTCTTTAAATAAAACTTTAAGTATTGACCTTATGTCAATATCTAGGCTAGGTACTGGCTTCTCAGTAATAACACAGACATGACCACCGTCCTCAAGGTGTCTATTCTTAGATGACTGCAAGAACTAAGAGGAGGAGAATGGTAAGTAAACTGAAGCAGTCGGTCTAACTTATTTTTTAAAAAATGGGGGTAAAGGAAAGGAGAACAAGAGTATCATGGGTCTGCCGAAACCGGTTTGGCTCAGTGGACAGAGCGTCGGCTTGCGGACTGAAAGGTCCCAGGTTCGATTCCGGTCAGGGGCACGTACCTGGGTTGTGGGCACATCCCCAGTAGGAGATGTGCAGGAGGCAGCTGATCGATGTTTCTGACTCTCTATCTCTCTCCCTTCCTCTCTGTAAAAATTCAATAAAATATATTTTTTTAAAAAATAAGAGTATCATGGGTCTAAGACACAACAGGGTTTAGGCCAGCCCCACCCTTTTTTAGGAAATCAAAACTCTAAGTGTATTTATGTCCATTAAAATAGGAAACAATCAGAGGAAGAGCTTGAACAAATAGCTGAAAACAGCAGAGACAGAACATGGTACCAGAGAGAGTACTGATGGATTCTCCAGAATCTTTGATGGTGGTATAAAGTGACACAACTGTACAGAAGCATCATTTTAAAGCATCTATCAAAAATATTAAAAAACTCTCTTATTGTCAATTATAAATCTATAGAAAAATGAAGAAAATAGTAAAACTAACCTGTATTTAATACACTGTAAGTTAAAATGTGGAGAATTAAAGTTTTATTTCTTCGTAATAAGCTTTTCAAGAATAGTTTGAACAGTGTTTTGTCTTCTCATCATGTAACTTAAAATACAGAGTGAGAATTTTTCTAAGTTTTTGTGAATTGTCACATTCCTTTCTAAGTTTAGGTCAGTTTCCAATGCTTTAACCTTTGTGCTTTTACTACCATGAAATATCTCCAAGAGTTCCTTAACTATAAAATTTTGGGGCCAGTGTCACTTCCTCTAAGGCATCTTCATCCTTTTCATCACAGCCATGCTCCTTATTTGTCAGTAAACTCTCGACCACTAAGTTCCTCTGGCTGGGTATCTAGAGCCTATTAAACAGCAGAGTGTTAACATTCCACAGTAGCTCTTTCTTCCATCACTCCATTTACATTCGATTTAAAATTCACTTCCAGCATTATCACTTTTATTTTCTTAACCACTGGCTTAAAACATACATGGCATATGCAGACTTTTACCCTCTTGCTAAGCTGCAGAAGAGGCACACTGATTTTTTGAATCACCTCTTCTTTGATAAATTATGTTACTTAGATTTGCTTTTTATAAGATAATGCATAGCATGTAATTGAAACAAAAATACAACAACAAAAGCAATCATTTCTCATCTATAACCCCATCCATAAAAGATGAAATGTAGATTACCTACTACTCCATTACACAAACCCAATCAGAATAGTTTTCAGTAGGGAATTTCTCATCAACAATTTTAAGAACTTTGAAATATAATTCAACTTGAATTATCCTCTCAATGTACTTTAATTCTACAACACAATAGCACAATTTTCTTTACAGAGTAAAATTATGACTTCAAACTTTATCTCCATTTCTAATTTATGATAGCTTTCAAAATATATCCTTTATATCTCTGTCTTTCCAACCCACACTCAACCTCATCAAATTAGATTTAAGAAATATTAATGACTGCCTGTACTGTGCCAAGGAACATCTAATATGATAACTGTCTCAAGCAGAATGTCCTTTATCCTCACAATTATGTCAGCTTTGGCAAATATGGGAATAGTGAGATTGTTTATTATCTCATTAACAGATCTCAGTTAAGAGTCAAAGAAATCATTATAGCAGTATCTATCAATTTATGGCTTAGCATAGATTGAAGACTACAATGACAGCAGCAAAGGTGCTGAAATAAGAGTTATTTTATAAAGTTTTAAGTAGAGGCACACTGAGATACACACACACACACACACACACACACACTCACACACACTCATACAAGATGACAAACTCTCCAAATATCTATGGTCTTAGTGGACAAACCACTGCTTGCAAAAGTAACTAAAGGGCCAATCAGAGGCTAATGACAACATAACAGAGACTAGCCCTCTGGTGAGTTCCTTTGGTTCTGAACAGATCCAGACAGAGGCAGAGCTTGTCACTACATGATGAAACCCAGTTGCGAAGGCACTTGGAAGACCCTCTATTACACACAAGTTAAGACCACAAGCCACAGAACTGTTCCTCAGAGAGACTCCTATTTCTGTGGATAAAAAGAATCTCCTCTCTGCAGATACCAGTACAGCACTTTCCACAAACATTAAAGGGAAAAAGTGAGATAGTAATTCCACAAAAATAAGCTTCAAAGACACAGAAATTTTGTTTGGCTTTCCAAGAATCTACCATCAACACTTTTTATTGCAGTAATGATTAATAGAATTGCTGGATGTATGCCATAATTTCAAACAGTACTTGCTTCTAATTTATGTCAGAAATAGTGCCATGAGTCTGGTGCCGTTTTTTAAATGGCAAATGCTTCTCATATTTAGTAAGTGGGAAAATCAGCAGCAGCAGGCTGAGGTCTAAAAGACTCCACCAAAGTGGATTCTAGTTATGAGTAAAGAGAATTATATTCATATTTTAACAAACCACATGCTTTTCTTTGGGATCTTTATGCTCTTTTTCTCATGTTTTTAAAAAGAAAACTGAAGAAAAATACAGTTAGAAGGAGGTAGAGCAGTTTCGTAAGGCACAAAATAGAAATCCTTAAATTGTTATTATTTTAAATACTGGCTCTCCATCAGCCTGCGGACAGAAGGGTCCTGGGTTCGATTCCAGTCAAGGACACAAGCCAGGGTTGTGGGCTCAATCCCCAGTAGGGGGCGTGCAAGAGGCAGCTGATCAATGATTCTCTCTCCCTCTCCCTTCCTCTCTGAAATCAATAAAAATATATTTTTTAAAAAGACTGTCTCTCTTAAATGCCCCCATGTGTCACTCAGGGGCTCCAGGCTTTTAACCATTTCCTAAGTGAGAAAGATAGATAATAGCTGACACATATTTTTTAAAATTAAGATATGAGACTATGTACATGAAAGATAGAGAGGACAACGTCTCCAATCTCATATAAATCTGTTAGGAGTCTCTGGCAATAGAACGTGCAGTTAAAACAATTATTTTGAAGAAGCACAGTCCATGTTTGGTTGAGCTAGTCTCTTGGGAAGATAAAATATGAGATTACTCTCCAAATGAAAATTCATAGTCCAGAAAGTTTTTCTTGGCACCTCTGATATTTAAGCAAATAGTCATTTCATCATTTCTTTGATTTTCAATAAATCATCCTGGTAAATAAACATTTAAAGAAAAGTCACAAAGAAAGTTCCTATCAGTAGCCTATGGGAGCTGGTAATGATCATTAAAATATATATATATATTTTTTTAGGAGGACAGGTTAAAATAAAATATCAAATTGCCATGGCTGGTGTGGCTCAGTTGGTTGTGTGTTGTTCCTACACTGAAATGTTGTTGGTTCAATTCTGGGTCAGGGCACAGGCCCAGGTTGTGGATTTCATCCCCAGGAGGGGGCATGCAGGAGGCAGCAGATCAATGTTTTTATCTCATATAGATGTTTCTCTCCCTCTCCCTTCCTCTCTCTCTAAAATCAATAAAATCATATTTTTAAAAAAATTTCAAATGAAAAGGCTGACTTAAAAAATAATCCTAGTACTTTACCATAAACTGTAAGAAAATTATTAAAGTTCTAGCCATTTTTTTAGATTAAAAATATAAGTATGGCAAAAATGTGTTCCTAATCACAGAAAGACCAATAACTCTTATGCCTGTATATCCAAAATTAAGGTGTGCGGCATGGAGGGACCTGGAGAGTAATATGCTAAGGAAAATAAGGCAGTCAGAGAAAGGTAAGTGTCACATGATCTCACTCATATGTGGAATCTAATGAACAAAATAAACTAATAAACAAAATAGATCCAGAGATACAGAAGCAGGAAACAGACTGGAATCTCAGAGAAAAGGTGGGGATGGGTGGGTAGGTGGGAAGACCTTGTATGCATATATGCAAAACCCATGGACACGGACAATAGGGTGGGGAAGGCCTGGGGCGAGGGCCCAGGGAGAGCGAGAAGGAGTCAGTGGGGGAAAAGGGGGGACATATGTAATACTTTCAACAATAAAGATTTATTTTTTTTAAAAAAGGTGTGCATTACATTTGCAGTTTTGTGGTATTGAGAGAGCTTTGTCATCTATAGTCCCTTCATTGGACTAGACTGGATATTCTCTATACTCCCTAGTAAATCTGAGATATCTATGAGTCTACTTCTCCCTGGCAATTGATCCTACTTTTATTTGGATCCCTCCCCACCCCACCCTACATCTTGAGCTACATCCTTCATATTAGACATTTTTCCTGGGACTTTGCAAGGCCTCCAGAAAATTGTTATGTAGGGCAGTGATTCCCCCTTCCCCTCATGTTGATACATCTTTGTTTCAAAAAGTACCAAGCATTTCCAAAGGGAAGACTATCCAGCACTTATAACTTTTGCCCGAGTGAGCAAATCCCTTCTTCCAGTTCTCACCTGGTACTTTCACAGACCATTTTCTCTTTGAAGTTCAAGGTCAAAGGATAAAACATCCATCAGTAGAGACTCAGACTGGAGGCATCCTTCACCCCATGACTTGTGCACCCTCACTAAATCTGGAGGCACAAGCACCGAATCAACAATGTCAGTAACAGAAACTAGATAGCACAAAGCAAATCACTTAGGAAGGCTGGGGAAACTCCATGCACACGGCCTCTGGCCACAGTGTTTCTCTTTACACCCACAAATGGGGAATGCCACAAGTGACCACAGTATTCATAAATACCAGCACTCTCGTTTTGGTCTCATGGCTTATGTAACCGTCTTTTGTCTCCAGTAGGACTGTTAGTACAGCAAATACATTCTCATGGCCTTTATATAATCTTCTGATTTACTTAAACTTCTTACGAAAGGCAATCTATTGAGAATAAGATCTTGAGGGAAGTGTAGTACATTGCATTTCTACCTCTTGCCTTACAACAAAATAAAATGACAGATGGGGTTGATATCTCTAGGAGAACTTATGGGAAAATATTTTTTATAATTTTAGGGTGGTGAACACCTTTACAAGCATTGTGCAAAATTCAGAAATTATAATGGAAAATTTGATACATTTGAATCCCTAAAAATCCAGAGATTTCTGTAAAGCCAAAAAAACCCCAAAATCTACCACAAGCAAAATTGGGGTAGAAGAAACTAAGATAAATCATTTTCAACATATGACAAAGGTTATGTCCATGATAGATAATAAGTGTACAAAAATCAAGTAGGAAAGGGTAACCCACATTTTATAATACCAAAAATAATAAATCAGATGTTTAAATAGATAAACAGATAAAATATAGGATATTTGCCTTCACTAAAAATCAAAGAACTATAAATCAGAATCCCTTTTTTACCCAATATAATTGGAAAATGTTCTAAAAAATTACAATTTCAATGATGACAAGAATGTGAAGTAAAACAGGCATTTTCACTGTCTTTGTTGAAGTATGAATTCCTTTCCAAAAGGTCATTTATATGACTCCACCTAAATTTAGCATGTGCATACCTCCACTCCTGCAACTCCAATTCTACTCATTTATCAGTTAGAAATTTTCACATAAGCACATAAAGATTATACATAGATATTTATTAGCATTGTTTGGATAGCAAAAATGTGCAATCAACCCAAATTTCTATTAATAAAAAATTGAGTAATGCAATAATAAACCCAAACAATACAAAATACTATCTAATTATTTTTAAATTATGTAGATCCATCACTGGAACACTTGCTCTTAAAGCCTTCAGCCACCCATCAACAGTCTACTCTGAAGCCATCATGCTATGAGTAAGCCCAAACTGCCTATACCTAGAGACCACTTGGGGAAGTCCTAAAACTACAGAAAGTGAGAGTGATACCTTGCCAGCTCCTCGATGTTCCATCCCCTGCTGCTGCAACTCCAGCCACCATCTATCTGACTGCAATTGCAAGAGAGTCTCTGAACCACATCTTCCCAGTCATGCCTTTCCAGAATTCCCAACCCGTCAAAAATTGTGAGAGGTTTTGGAATCTACAGAGCTGATGATCAGATGCTAAACCGAGATGAGTTTATTACGTTGGTACACCTAACCAACATGACTCCTGACCACATGAGAGAACACACTTGCTTTTCTCCTTGTCCCATATTATATGCCTAAATCATTCCCAAGGTGAAGCAACCCATGAAGAAATCTAAGGATTGGCTCTGATGAAAGTGCACAAGGGGCCAGCTTCACTCAGTGGTTCTTCATCACTTCATTGGAGGAAATGACTACAGGTTGTCTCATTGCCACAACACCCCTTGTTTGGCTTTCAGCTCTCCCAACACCTTTGTAACTTGTTTTTTCTATTGAATGCTCCTGATTCAATTGCCAAGTATAGCCTTTGTTTTTCTGATTGGACCCTG